GTACATATACGAATACATATATTTAAAATGTGTGCAAATGAACAAAAATGAATACATGTCTTCACATCTACCCTTAGCCTTACCTGTGGGGTTGCGAGCATCCGTTCGACCACCGCAATAACCACGTGCTTCTGAAGTCTACCATGTTTGGCACGGCTGTCGATTTGGGAGGGATTCCCGAGTTGGTGATGAGTATATCTTAGTGTCCAGACAATATCCCAAAACTAACTTGGGTGGCAGATGGGTCTAGGGTATGTTATATCTACGCATGTTAGGAGAGTCACTTGCAAGAGACGTCTGATCACATTTATTCGCAGATTTGTCGCTACAAACTACACACTTTGCAGCTGAGATGAATTTAAAAAACAATAAATCGAGAACATCTGTATGTGCCACTCAGGTATAAGTCACAGTGTATTTTCAGCTCAGCATCAAGTTTGGTTTCACGTTTTGGTTGCTATGGTTGTATGTGCTCTATGCACGATTAGAGGTTTAACGTATTCAGAAACGGGGAATCTGGATATGTAGCACACAGTAGGCATGAGAAATAGGCTGACCTTGGGCCAAACCTTCAATCAGCAAAGAAACATCGGTATATATACTTTAGACGGTACATGCAGATAACATCTACACTACATTAAGCACAGGACAGTCCAGGGATACATGCGAATAGCACACATATCACCACAGGCACAGAAAACCTACCGTGTGTCTGGCTTTAAATAGTCATCGAGCGCGGCGGTACGGAAAAGGTCAATCAGCTGACTGACTTCATCGTACACTTCAGCCAACAGAGGAACTTCCGTTGACGCCGCAAAACCCCGCAACAGCTGCACGTCCAGTTCTAGGGTCTTGAAAATCTGGGCAATTTGATCGTGGGATAGTTGGTTACCAAGGGAACCAGTAGGGTTTGGTTGACTGGGATGCACATTGGTGTAGGTAGGTGGATATATGTGCCACATTTCTACGAATCTATGATTCCTATACCTATTGTGGGATACCGACACAGCCAGAATTATATATATATATATATGTGGCTATGCGTATATGTATGTATGTGTCTACAATTTTCAACCATATTTAGAGCGAAGAAGCAATATTCAGAAGTACTTACTTTGAACTTCAAGGGTTTCAGCCGTGTTATCCTGCCCTGTAATTGGTTCTTCTGGGGCTCGTAGTCTAAGCCGGTAATCAGGCTACCAGCGGATGGTGCAGAGTAGAATTTAAGTATGGGGTCAGAAGTAATAGATATTATTAACACACCAAGGACTACTATATTACCCAAGCACCCATGTGAAACGAATAAACACAAAACGTAGTTACTAACCATTCAACCAACTATCCGACTCACACACTTGCCAATTGCTCATGCCGACACAAATACATACACACCCTTCACCACTCACACAACACCCACACACACACAGCTACACATCTCGACGCAAATACAATTGTATTGTCACTACTCACAAAACACACACACACAAACAGATACATTTATGTTCTCCTCACTCATACAACACAAGCACTACCACGCAATAACGCAACACATACACACCTTGAAAAGCGACCTGCAGCGTGCGTGGTGGCTGCAAATGAGCACGTTCGTATGACCTCTGTTGACAAGCCTTCCGACGCCAATATGGGCGACAGGTCTTGCACCAGACTTTCCAAATATGGACTGGGAACATCGCTTGGAGATTGCGTTTCCCTATGGACAGCAGAGGTACAAGGACTTTAGTCATGTCACTCGAGATACAGGCGGGTACGTATGTGTGCGAAGGTGTCAGGATGGCTGTATACTTATACTAAGGAAATAATGTAAAAAAATCGGGACTAGAATTTGTAATTAGTCACATGTCGCTAGAGATACACGCGGGCGTGGTATGATTACACCACCAGCTATACTAATATTCTTGTTTTTTTATATACAGAAACACACCTCTCTTATTTTTATATATATACACACGAACACACACACACACGCACACACACACACATATATATACATACATACATACATACATACATACATACATTCATACATACGTACTACATACATACAA